AAAGCACACCCCACACCAATTCTGCAGCTTACCCCTCCACTGCTGCGTCCCTGTGTCTCCCCACTCCACCTTTCTCTGCCTCTCGCACTGTTTACAACCCGCTGCTCCTCTTCGTTGCAACTTCCACTCTAGTTCAATCAAGCAACCACCCTCCCCACCGGAGTGCGGGTGCTTGGTGCGGCCCTATACTCCTCAAAGCCCGACTCGTGGACAAAAAGGCCAAATGGCCCCCATTTGAAACCCTTCATGCGGGGGTTGTAGGTCGGACTGGCCTGGTTGAAGTGATCCCTCACCACCCTTTTCACAAGGGCGCGGATGCTTGTCACCCATTTGGTGTTCTTACGGTGGGAGTTGGTGAGGTTCATTGTCATCTTGTTTGTCTTAGACAATCCGTAATCGATCTGTACAGTGATGGAGTCTGGAGGGATTTGTGGATCATGTTTCAAAGGGGGAAACAGTGAAGTATTGGGAGCACCGTGCATGGCATGCAAGGATGGAAAGCTAATTGAAACATTTGTTGAAACCCAAGCAAAGAATGGGGTAGAAGAACACAATGAATTGGGGACAACAAGAGGGAGAAAGAAACTGCTCACCATCATGATACTCCACGCAATGTGATACGCCTTGATGCACAACTTTGTCCCCACAACATATTCACCAAAGGCATCCATGGCAGCATCGAAGAAGCACTTGTTGGCGAATGGGAGGCCGGAATCCTCATCATTCTCCCATGTGCTTAGTGGATCATCGGCAGCTGCAGCAGTTGGGTTTGGAGGGGGTTGGGGAGGGGACAGGTGGGGCATTGGCAGGCCAATCTGATCGGTCGAAGGAAAACGGGAAAGGGTAAGAGAGAAACAATGACCAGGGAAGGGGGTTGGGGGTGTAAACCCCCCAAAATCATGCAATACAAGGCATTGTGCGATGGAATACTCACTTGGGCAGTAGGTGCCCCGAAGATCGCACTTCAATTCCACGTCGATGTGTAACTCTGATGCACACAGCCCACTAACTGCCACCCCCAGGGCCTCGAGCACCGCCCTTTTGATATAGAAGGCGCGCTCGTTCTTCCATTGCGTCCAAACACGCTTGAAAGTTTCAATGCGTTTCTGGTCCTGCATGACCTCTTTCAACTGAATTAAAGACACTAAGTAGTTCTTTGATATGACCGCGTGCAAGACCAAGATCCTCTTCTTAAAAGACGGGTAGAAATTGATTTCGTTGTCATCAGCGTCCATGCAGATGCGATTCCTGGTATCCTCGATGTAGAGCTAATGAAGTATTCAACGGAAGGGAAAACATGGAACATGGCATGCAGGGAAGGAGCAAATTAGGATGCATGGGGAGGAGGGCAAGCTTTGAATGGTGCAAACAGAGATGAATGCAATTCAAGGCATGCAAGGAAGGTGCACATTGAGAAGCATGGGGAGCAAGGCATGCTTTGAATGGGGCAAACAGAGATGACTGCACTGCAAGGCATGCAGGAAAGCTGCAAACTGGGATGCATGGCGAGCACGGCATGATTTGAATGGGGCAAACAGAGATGACTGCACTGCAAGGCATGCAGGAAAGGTGCAGGTTAGGATGCATGGGGAGCAGGGCATGCTTTGAATGAGGCGAACAAAGATGAATGCAATCCAAGGTATGCAAGGAAGGTGCAAATTGGGAAGCATGGGGAGCAGGGCATGCTTTGAATGGGGCAAACAGAGATGGATGCAATGCAAGGCATGCAGGGAAGGTGCAAATTAGGATGCTTGGGGAGCACGGCATGCTTTGAACGGGGCAAACAGAGATGGATGCGAAGCAAGGCATGCAGGGAAACAGATTTACGGGTTGGGGAAGGGCAATTGACCCTCAAATTCGTGGCAAATGGCATCCCGTGTCTCCTAGCGATGGGCGGTCCTTGTACAGCACTCTCCGCCGCACACACGGGCTCAGATTCCTGGGAGGGTAGCTCGCTGGATATCGCCTGCAGAGGTGGAACTGGCATTCCTACTCCAGCAGAATTTCCCAGGGGCCTTGGTGCTGCCTTCAGCTCCGCAATCTGCCTATTCGCTTCATGCAATGCCTAAAACAATTGCTGCATGGACGCGTTGGGTGATACACCAGCACTACTGAAAGGGAATACAACTGCCGCACCCTCTTGCTTGCACCTTGCAGATTCTCCCGCGACTTTAGGCCCAATATCTGTTTTACCAAAAGCCTCACAACTAGGTCGACCGTCGCCTGGCTGACCTCCAGCACCAGGGTTGCCACCGTCAGCTGCGCCCTGGAGTCCGACCTGCACGCCACTACTCCGCTCAAAACCCTGCCCAATGCCCCACTCCTCATCGTCACTTCCTCCATGCGTACGGTTGTCAGCAACACGCTAGACTTCAACTTTGATGCCAATCCGCCCACGAACCGGCTGGGCATTCCTTCCCAATGAGGAACCTGAAGCGAGTGCCGCATAGGGGTCGTCTGAAGCCCCCCGTTTCTTGTGAATGCATTCCCGTCGGTTCTCCGATGTAGCATCTACTGTTTTCCCCAACACCTTCATGTCGTTGTAGAACCCGAGATCGGCATTCAAAGTACGCCGCTCCTTACCCACTCGGGTTTCCCCACGTTCTGAGCGCTTGGCTGGTGCATGTTCTTGGGGCCTCCCCCTCTTACGCCCTTTCTTTTCCTTCCTAGCACGACAACGCTTTCCGCTAGATCCGTTTCTGCGTCCACCCTGAGCCTTGCCTTTCCTCCTGTCTTCCTCCTCACTCTCTGACTCTGATTCCGCATCCTCACTTTCGTCCTCCTCATTGTCGTACTTCTCGCTCCCAGAGGAGCTCCCCAACTCCTCCTCAGAGCTTTCATCGTCATCGGAAGATTCCTCCTTGAAAGGGGCTTTCTTTCCAGCCCTTCGGCGCCGTGACTTCACCTTCCTTGACACCCCTCTCTTATCCTCCAACTCCCCGCCACAGCTCTCCCTCCCATCCCCCCCATGCCCAGTAACATTCTCTGCACCATCCTGTCTAGCACCTGCTGCAGTAGGAGGGGATGCGTCACGCTTCACTTCAAGCTCGCCCTCATGATCACCCTCACCCTCGCCAACCCTGCCGCAACGCTCGCCGTCACGCTTGCTGTAACGCTCGCCGTCACGATCGCCGTCACGCTTGCTGTAACGCTCGCCGTCACGATCGCCGTCACGCTTGCTGTAACGCTCGCCATCACGATCGCCGTCACGCTTGCTGTAATGCTCGCCGTCACGATCGCCGTCACGCTTGCTGTAACGCTCTCCATCATGATCGCCGTCACGCTCGCTGTCACGATCGCTGTCACGCTCGCCGCCCCGCTCGCCGTCACGCTCATGCCCTTTCACTTGCAAGTGATCCTCGTCGTCTACAGCTTCATGCTGTCGTGTTGCCCCGGTCGCCTGTTGTTTCCCTCTTTTCCCTTTCTTGGCACCGCGTTTAGCTACAACACATAAAGAAAGGGCGACAAGATCAGTGGTGACAAGTGGAGCACCTCTATTGGTGGCGAAATCAACCACGATATCAATGAGCAACTCTGAAACAGACATAGAAAGATGCTATGCGGAGCAAAAAGGCTCTTGCTTACCTTTCCTCTCTTTAGCAGGTTTGAATTGGTCCAGCAGCTTCACCTTAGGACCGTTCCGCGGCTCGCTTGAACCGCCGCAACTAATTTGGCCAGTGTAAGGTTCGTCACCAGACTGGTCACTATCCGATGATGAGTCCCCTGACTCCTCGGCAGCGCGTGCAGAAGATCTGTTCTTCCTCCGATACTGAACAACTAACGCAGCAGCTTTGTGATGTGTCATCTCGTCATGAAGCCTCTGTTCCGCACGTGTTCTAGTGCCTTCCAGGGGCTGTAAAGCTCCAGTGGTTACTACCACCGCAATAGCATCGGCCTGTTGATCAAGATCGCAGATGTCCGCCATTATTGCCGCTAGACCAGTCCAGTGAATGATTGCAAGATGGGGAGTGCATTTCAATGGATCAGAGCTTGCTTAAATAGGTATTCGAGGTGCAAGGAATCCCACCGCGCATGCTAGACGTGCCTGCGAGAAACGCAGCGCGAAATCCCAGTACGTGCCCGCGGAACTCGCCCAAGAAGGAGCGAGAACAGGAGCGCGCCATTGCTGGACGCGCCCTTAGAGAGCATTACGACTGCGCCATAGCTGGACGTGCCTACGACGAGTAATTGCAACATCACAAAAATCCTGCATCCGGAAAACCGATGAAAAAAGTTGCTTTGGAGTTTTGTCGAATGATTCATGAACGACGTTTTTCGAACACTTTTTTGAGAAAGTATAGGTTGCTTTCCAAATGCTTTCTCGTACGCTTTTCAAATGCTTCTCCAATGTTTTTCTGTTCGAACCTGCCAGGTGAACACCTTCGGAAGAAGTTTGGTACAAGTTTTCGCAGAGCAATTTCGAAGATCGGATCTCATTGCAATGTACTCTTTATGGGATTTCGGGTTCATTAAAATAAGCTTATGTAGGAGACTTGCATGACCTTATATGTAATTTAAAACTATGTTAAGTTGCCTCAATCTTGCATTCAAAATGAACAGTACAGAAGCTTTGGTAAAAGCTGATAATTCCACCCTAAAAATGCACATAAAACAGCATCCTAAACCCTCTGTGCCTAGTCAGTTAGGTTGAGCTGCATCATCCTACGACCTGCTTAGCATGCTCCAGTACACTATGTCTTCCACCGAACCCCATCTCTGGTGCTCTAGGTTGAGCGTGCCCCTGCGTCCACTGCTTCATTGCATGCTCTGCCCTCTCATGCGTCTGCTGCTCCGCCCCTGGCGCTCCCCAGTCTTGCCTTTACTGCTGCTTGCTCCAGTCATGCCTAACCTGCTGCCCCCCTTGTGCACTCCCCTCTATCTGCTCCTGCCTTTTCTGCTGCCCCCCCAACTCTCTCAACTCATGCCTTTTCTGCTGCACCCTCTTGCACTATCTGGTTGCCTTGCTGGTTGCCCACCCCTGGACACTCCTCACATTGTCTCTACTGCTGCCCCCCTTGCTGACTCCACGCTTTTGCCGCCCGTGCTACCCCCCATGCTGACTCTACTTTCTTGCCTGGCGTGCTGCCCCCCTTGCTGTCTCCACCAATGCCTCTACCTCCGTTTTGATGTCTCCTCGCAAGTGTGTGATGCCTATCCTGCTGCCCCCCCTTGTAAACTCCACTCATGCCTCATGTGCTGCCCCCCTTGTTTAGTCGCCCCATCGCTTGACCCTCTTGCCTCCCCGGCGTTTGCCACTCTTGTGTCTTTTGCCCCTCCTTCGCTCCTGCCCCCCCCCCCTTCTCATCCTCATCCTCATCCTCTTCCTCCTCTTCCACTTCTTCCTCCTCTTCCTCTTCCCTCCTGCTTCCCTTGCCTCCGCCTCTTTCGTGCTTTCTGCCCTTCCTCCTATCCTGCCCCCTATGATTTTCATCCGCCTGCTCTCCCTCCTCCTCCTCCTCATCCTCTTTCTCGTCCCCCCTGCTTCCTCTGATTTTCCCTCTCTTCTGCCTTCTGCCCTTCCTAAGCTCCGCCCCCCCCCCGTTCCACATCCTCCTCCTCCTCTTCCTCATCCTCATCCTCCTGCTCATCCCTCTTGCCTCCCCTGCTTTTGCATCTCGTGTGCCTTTTGCTCTTCCTCCGCTCCTGCCCCCACTGTTCCTCCTCCTCCTCATCATCCTCCTCCTCCTCCTCATCCTCCTCCTCCTCCTCCTCCTCCTCCTCCTCCTCCTCCTCCTCCTCCTCCTCCTCCTCCTCCTCCTCCTCCTCCTGATCCTCGTCATCCTCCTCGTCATCCGTCTTCAAGTCCTCCGCGTCGTACACCTCCTGCTCTTCCTCCTTCAAGTCCTTCTTCTCCTCGTCAGGCACGGCCTTCCCCTTGAACGCCTCAAATCCTGACTCGTGAACATACAGGCCACGGTCGCCCCACTTGAAGCCCTGCACGACTGTGTTGTACACGGGGGTGTGGCGTGTGAAGTGGTCCTTGATAATCCACCGCACATTTCGGTGCAAACCCGTCATCCACTCGGTGTTCTTGCGGTGGGAGTTCGAGACGTTCCAGTCGGTCTTTTTAACCTTTGCCAAGCCCTGGTCAATCTGGAAAAGCGTAGCAAAGTATGGGAAAGAGGGGAAATAGAGACATATGTGGACACTCGCGTGTAGAGTTCACGGGCTGCGCAAATAGCCCCACATTCCAGTCTGGCGGGCAAGAATTGCAAGCAAAGCTAGAGCGAACTGACGGGAGAGCAATCATGCCTTACCACCATGATTGACCAGGCAATGTGGTAGGCTTTGACGCACACCCGGCGCCCGACACAGAGATTCCGAAATGCTTCCCGGACCGCATCTACAAACCGGCCATTGGCAAACGGGAGCCCGTCTCTGCTGTTTCCCCACGAGCTGACCCGCTGATTCCCTCCTGCGCGCACGCAGGACAAGGCGGGGACGAAGATCATGCACGCCATGGTTTAGGGGTTGTCCAAAGGGTATGGACGAAGTGGAGGGCGGTTTAGAATGAATGGAGGGTTGGCTGGATGGCAGTAGAGCAGGGAAGGGCGGGAGAGAAGGGGAGGGCAGGAGGGAAGGGGAGGGCAGGGGAGAGGGGGAGGGCAGGAGAGACATGGAGGACGGGATAGAAGGGGAGGGCTGAAGAGAAATGGAGGGAGGGAGAGAACGGGATGGCGGGAGGGAAGGGGAGAGGTGTAGATTAAAGGGGGGCCGGGAGAAGGGGACAGTGGGAGAAGAACCAACGTTAAGCTGTCATGCGGATGTGACTGCACATGCGCTACAAGGCTGGGCAAGGAGAGCAGGTATGTAGTTGCGTGCCACAGTGGGGATGCATTAGGGTAAGTTGTTCATCATCGTCACGAGGGGTGCACGAGCAGATGAAATGAATGGTGAAGTAAAACAGAAACGCGCGTTCTCACTTGGTTGGTATTTTCTCCACATCTTCTTCTTCTTCTTGGTGCCCATCCAGAGATCGGCTGAACGCAGGCCTTGCACATTCTTGCCGAAAGTTACAAGCACTCTGCGCTTGAGGTGGAAGCCACGATCGTTCTTCCATGACGTCCAAGCGCGTTTGAAGCCGTCGACGATGTTTTTGTCTTCCATAGCCTCTCGCAGCTGCATCAGCTTAATTATGTGCGTCTCGCTGATAACCTGATACAAAACCTGAAGGCGCTGTTCGAGCGTTGGGTAGAAGTCTATGGCATCATCTGGCCATTCTAGGCACATCCGGTCCCGCCCCACGGCGAAATGAACCTATGACGGACGGGTGGATTGGAAATGTAAAATTGAGTGATGCCTCCGAATGAAGGGCGGAATTCAGTGGTTGAGAGAGAGGGCTGTTGCCATCTCTGCGCCGCATGGCACCAATACCAACAACAGCACCATGAACATGGGCTCTGGTAGAGGTGGGGGAGGGATGGGAGAGAGGGTGCAGGGAGAGGAAGGATAGCTGCTATGGTGAGCTATCACTCCGCCGCATGACACCCACCCCACCACCAGCACCATGAACAGGAGCTCTGGTTGAGGTAGGGGAGCGATGCACGAGTGAGAGGGGAGAGAGGGGGGATAAAATAGTCAGAGCGAAAGACGGGAGATTAGGCACATTGAGAGGGCACCGTACGCCCAGCGCGAGGGTCCATGTTCTCCTCGTACTAGGAGTCTCAACTTCCACTGCAGCCACCCCCCTGCACGCTACGCCGCATGCCACATGAGTGACCAGCAGCACCTTTTACAGTGGCTCTGGACAAGGAGGGTGAGGGACGAGATAGAGAGGGGAGGGAGGAGCGGCGGACAGAAAGGGGGCCGCGTGAGATTGACGGATACGGCTTCCTCTATTCCCTCCGCTGCATGACACCCACACCACCCCCAGCACCATGAACAGGGGCTCTCGCAGATGGCGGGGAGGGATGGGAGAGAGAGGGGAGTGAGATGAAGGATGAGTGCTATGCTTAGCTATCCCTCCGCCACACGACATGTATTCCACACCACCCCTAGCACCATGAACATGGGCTCTCGCAGAGGGAGGGGAGGGATGGGAGAGAGGGGGGAGGGATGGGAAGGATAACTGCTGCGATTTACGATCACTCCGCCACATGACACCCACCCCACCACCAGCACCATGAACAGGAGCTCTGGTTGAGGTAGGGGAGCAATGCACGAGTGAGAGGGGAGAGAGGGGGGATAAAATAGTCAGAGCGAAAGACAGGAGAGTAGGCACATTGAGAGGGCACCGTACGCCAAGCGCGAGGGTCCATGTTCTCCTCGTACTAGGAGTCTCAACTTCCACTGCAGCCACCCCCCTGCCCGCTACGCCGCATGCCACACGCGTGACCAGCAGCACCTTTTACAGTGGCTCTGGACGAGGAGGGAGAGGGACTGGATAGAGAGGGGAGGGAGGAGCGGCGGACAGAAAGGGGGCCGCATGGGGTTGACGGATACAGCTTCCTCTATTCCCTCCGCCGCATGACACCCACACCACCTCCAGCACCAGGAACAGGGGCTCTCGCAGAGGGAGGGGAGGGACGGGAGAGAGAGGGAAGTGAGATGAAGGATAACTGCTATTCTTAGCTATCCCTCGGCCGCATGACACTCACACCACCACCAGCACCAGGAACAGGGGCTCTCGAAGAGCTAGGCGAGGGATGGGAGAGAGGGGGGAGGGATATGAAGGATTACTGATACAATGAGCTATCCTTGCGCCGCGTGCCACCCACACCAGCACCAGCACCATGAACAGGGGCTCTGGTTTAGGGTGGGAAGGGATGGGATAGAGGGGCCAAGGGAGGATGGATAACTGCTATGGTGAGCTCTGGGTCGGGGGCAGAATGTGAGAGCATCGTACGTCCAGCGCCACGTCCTTGATGCGAGGCGTACTAGGAATGCCTATCCCACCGCAGACATGCCGCTATCACTGCTAATGCCACAAACACGCTTACCAGCAGCAAGAGGGGTTGAGAGAGAGAGCTGCAGCTATAACTGAGCCCCATGCCAGACATTGTTTAACACTAAAACAATCTCACCTTCAGCAGCTTGGTCGCAACTGCCCGGATCCACAGCCTTGCGCCGTTGGTAGGGAATCACAGCTTCACGTCCACCTTTCTCATCAGTCACAGCTGCTGGCTCGTCCTCATCACGATCGTTAACGCCACGGCATGCAGGCACGGCATGCCCCTTCTCGTCGCCACCATCCGCATCCTGCGTCTGCCTGCCCGAGGGACCGCCCTTAGCCGCGGCAGCCCTGCCGCCGTTGCGCATGCTGCCACCACGAGCTTCCGGCTCGGCATGATCCTTATCGTCGCCACCATCCGCATCCTGCGAGCCCGAGGGACCGGCCTTGGCCGCGGCAGCCCTACCGACGTTGTGAATGCCACCACCACGAGCTTCCGGCTTGGCATGATCCCTATCGTCGCCACCATCTGCATCCTCCGACTGCCTGCCCGTGGGACCGCCCTTAGCCGGGGCAGCCCTGCCGCCGTTGCGTATGCCGCCACCACGAGCTTCCGGCTCGGCATGATCCTTCTCGTCGCCACCATCCGCATCCTGCGAGTCCGAGGGACCGCCCTTGGTCGCGGCAGCCCTGCCGCCGGTGCGCTTTCCGCCACCACGAGCTTCCGGCTCGGCATGATCCCCCTCGTCGCCTCCATCCGCATCCTGCGACTGCCTGCCCGAGGGACCGCCCTTGGCCGCGGCAGCCCTGCCGCCGTTGCGCTTTCCGCCACCACGAGCGCGTTGGCTTGCCGTCCCATCTGCCAAGGCGGACATGACAGGTACATAAGATATGAACAATATATAGGGAGTTGCGGCATGACATGCGGCGTCATTGTTTTGAGTGACGTGGAAAATATAAACCGTCTATATCACACCCACAGCGTACCTAAGCTGTCAGGTCCTCCCTCTTTGCCCTCCTCGTCGCCTTCAGACGCAGGCGTTTCCTCACGATGTGAACGAGTGCCTCTTTTTCTTGGACGGTGCTTACGGCCCCCCCGGTTGTCACGCTTGTCCGCTATCGCTGATGTGGAAACACAATTGGAGAGAGGATAACCTCCCACAGGTCAGACACGACTACAAGCATCAATACATGCAGACAAGTAGAATATTCCGCATCTGCGACCATAAACACATACCTTTCTGGCCGCCTTTGGGAACGAGATCATCTAAGCGCTTCACGCGCTTATCCCCTGGTTTCGAAGGGGATGATATGCCCTTGTTTGCGTATGGCTCCATATCGCAGTCGCTATTCGATTCGTCACCGGATGACGAGACACGTCTGGAATCAACAACATCTCGCGCCGTCGACGCATTATTTTTGCGATACTCGATTACGAGCTCGGCCGTCTTATCTGCTGTTACTAACTCCGCAATTTTTGTTTGGTCGGGGGTTTTAGTCGATTCAGCCAGGACGATCGCCCCCTCGGGCCCCTTCATTGTCAGACTTCCTTGTTACAATGTCTAGCTTTCCATTCACGCAGTACTATGAGGTTGCGGGTTGTGCTACCGCCTAGAACCTGACAGCAGTCTACGAGCATAAAAAATTGGTAGAGGAGGGAGAGGGACGAGGCAAAGTCTGGGGCCTAGAGCAGACGATCGTCACAGCTGGAGGCCTGCAAGGGGAGCACGGAGGTGATGAGGGTTTGAGGTCGTATCCCTACCTAGTGTCAAGAAGATAGTGTCAAGAAAATTGCGCTCGCGATTGGTTCAAAAAAACGCTTGACCAATCGCATTGGCTGGACGTTTTCTTTGGACCAATCTGATGCACAAACTTCTTGACACCAACTTCTTGACACTAGGCAGGGAATCGACCTGAGTGTTTCCTGCTATGGTGCACGTTGCGACTGCCAGGTCCCCCATTTCCGCCCTCAACAAATCGCCTGGTGGTTGAGGTGTAAAAAGGAAAAAAATGCAGCACTGCTGTGTTAAGATTCCGTGGGACCTAACGTGCTTAATTGAGTATCAGTCCACAAGCGGCAGGGTGGGCTTCTATTTGTTAAACCCGACAGTCAAATGCGCTACTGTATTTGGGTTTGCGAGGGTTATAATTATTCTGCCCGGGTTGTCGTACTATTTACAATGAAGTGCCTCGCGTGCCACACAAACCTACACAAGCTGCACGTCAAGAGTCACATAGGGACTGCGGAGAAACGGCGACGCTCGATCGCAGCAAGTCGTACAGCGATGCGACAGGTCGACACGAAGCCTTTGCGGCACGCCTGCGATAAAACCGCAGACTCAAAAGTTCCTTGTGTGTGGTTGCGACTGGTTCGCAAATCAGGGAGCTTCGCGTACGTGGCATAGCGTGGAGTCGAGTGGAATGGCGCAGGGCGGGGCACGTAATGGCACATTAGTTTGCAAAGCCTCATTAGTGTGGTGTACGTACATGATAAAAATAGAATTAGGGGGTTATGGAGTTGTAAGGAAAATCTCGTTTTCCTTACTTCGCATCCCTGCTCAACGCGTCCCTTTCTTGTCCCCGTGCTCTATCCCCTTACTCATTTTTTTACCTAACCATACTCTATGCTCTCACACATGACAGGACCGCGTTCGTGCCGTCGGTGCGATCGTGTTGGCTATCACTCTCTTTTGGTGTACGTACATGATAAAAATAGAATTAGGGAGTTATGGAGTTGTAAGGAAAATCTCGTTTTCCTTACTTCGCATCCCTGCTCAACGCGTCCATCACTGTAGCACCTCAGTCAGCACCGTTACCACTCGCATCGACAATCCGCCCGCCACTTTCGCACGTCGCACCCTGACCTCACGGCTCGGCAGTTACCCGCGCTCCGGACCTTCGCCTCGACATTTTCCCAACCTCAGTGCCATGCCCGTCGCGCGGCAACCACAGTCCATTACCGTTACCACTGTGGTTTCGCTATATAACCTTTTGCTCATACCTTCGCTCAGTAGTACCTTTTACCCAATAGTGCAATCTCCGTTCGCTCACTCAATTGCACTCGTAACAGGAGGTCCCCTAACCCAATAGCATAGTGACAAGTATGCAATATAACAGTGTAAAACCAAACACCACCTTCACAGAACATGCACATAATGATCTGCGGTGGAGCAGTCATTCTGATACATCGAATGATGAGTAAGTACGCATTATTTGATTGCTGCCTGGTCGTTATGCAACGCGTATGGGCATGTCTCCTCTCATGCCAATTGAGGTGCAATAATACGGTAATAGAGCCAGACACAAACTCCACGTATGGGGCAAGGCTGCTCTCGTGCCATACAGGGCAACCACTATGCAGGGACCCAAGACCATGCTGTGTTGTACGTTTTAGGTTCATGCTGCAACGGAGTTGAGAAACCCCTGCTGTTCTACCCACTAGGGTTGTTGTGACATGCAGGTATGTTTTGCAGCAACACACCGACCCATTGTGTATTGTTTGTATACATGTCAAGCAGGAACGCCAGTGACAAACACTTCCCTACATGTAGTGTTCTCTAGACATGGAGGACTGGTTGTGGCCAACACTCTCATCTGGCCACACTTGTTGTCCAGTCATGCAGGACTGATTCAAGGCCTCTCCATTGCGCTTTGTGTCATGTTTGTTGGCATATCAAGCTGGCAGGACGGATGAACAAACAATTCCGTATTGATCTTGTCCTCATTCCCCCATGCTACCCGCTTCCTTGTTCTTCACTCACACACTTATTCCTCATTCCCCTATGCTTCCCGCCTCATGTCCCCTCGCTTCCGGCCTCATCCCTCATTGCTACCCACCCCATTCCCCCTTGCTTCCCACCCCATTCTTCACTGCGACCCTCCTCATTCTCCCTTGATACCCTCCCCATTTCCCCTTGCTTCCGGCCTCTTTCCCCCTTGCTTCGGGCCTCATACTCACTTGCTTCCTCCCTCATTCGCCCTTGCTTCACAGCCGCGTCCCCCTTGCTTCCCGCCTCATTCTCCCTTGCTACCCCCCTCATTCCCTCTTCTTCCCGCCTCTAGTCCCCTCGCTTTCGGCCTCATTCCCCCTTGCTACCCACCCCATTCCCCCTTGCTTCCCACCCCATTCTTCACTGCTACCCTCCTCATTCTCCCTTGCTATCCTCCCCATTTCCCTCTTGCTTCAGGCCTCATTCCCCCTTGCTTCGGGCCTCATACTCACTTGCTACCACCCACATTCCCCCTTGCTTCTGCTCCTCGTCCCCCTTGCTTCCCGCCTCATTCTCCCTTGCGACCCCCCTCATTCCCTCTGCTTCCCGCCTCTAGTCCCCTCGCTTTCTGCCTCATTCCCCCCTGCTACCCACCCCATTCCCCCTTGCTTCCCACCCCATTCTTCACTGCTACCCTCCTCATTCTCCCTTGCTACCCTCCCCAATTCCCTCTTGCTTCAGGCCTCATTCCCCCTTGCTTCGGGCCTCATACTCACTTGCTACCTCCCTCATTCCCCCTTGCTTCAGCTCCTCGTCCCCCTTGCTTCCCGCCTCATTCTCCCTTGCGACCCCCATCATTCCCTCTGCTTCCCGCCTCTAGTCCCCTCGCTTTCGGCCTCATTCCCCCCTGCTACCCACCCCACTCCCCCTTGCTTCCCACCCCATTCTTCACTGCTACCCTCCTCATTCTCCCTTGCTACCCTCCCCATTCCCCCTTGCTTCAGGCCTCATTCCCCCTTGCTTCGGGCCTCATACTCACTTGCTACCTCCCTCATTCCCCCTTGCTTCAGAGCCGCGTCCCCCTTGGTTCCCGCCTCATTCTCCCTTGCGACCCCCCTCATTCCCTCTGCTTCCCGCCTCATGTCCCCTCGCTTCAGGCCTCATTCCCCCCTGCTACCCACCCCATTTCCCCTTGCTTCCCACCCAATTCTTCACTGCTACCCGCCCCACTCTCACTTGCTTCAGGCCCCATTCCCCCTTGCTTCAGGCCTCATTCCCCCATGCTTCCCGCCTCATTCTCGCTTGATACCCGCCCCATTACCAGCTTTTCACCGCCGCCTGCCCCACCTCCAACCTCCAACATTGTTTTTGCCCGAAAATACACCGACCACTTCCTCAAATCGTGACGGTACTGACGGCGCCAATAGAGTGGCGTCCCTACAAGCTCACACGCCGGTAGTTTATGGAAACCATCCTCGACCAACGTGTGCATCACACGCATCGTGAACACACCACAGTCTTTCTCATTTGTCTGCACGGGTATCTGGACAACCACAGGGTGCGTGAGCGCGTCGTGAGGGCCGGGACGGGAGTGGGGTTTCGGTGTGGAAATTGCGTGCAGTGAAAGGGAGATGCGATTGTTTCAAAGCTCGTACACACAAGGCAACAGCACTCACCGTGACCTGCCTTAGTGGGATGCTCGCCGCCCATGCATCTGCGTCCGACTCACTGATCCATGCACAGTATCTTAACACCTCGTTTCGCAAGTACCTACACACCGGGAGACATAGATTCAATGCTATAGTAACCCCGAACTTCTGTACGTGACAATAGCAGACTGCCATTAAAAAGAGAGTACCTTCGCAACGGGGCATCGACACCGGCATGCGTGCCATACGAGTCAGCGTGCCAGAGCACGCAGTTCATGGGTATCGGATCGTCGGGCCTCGGGATGCGCTCGATCACGATCAGGCTCCAGTGACTCCTAAGGCACACATGAGGTCTAACATCAGTAACGCCAACGTTAGACTACAGAAATAAAAGATAACCCGGCTACGGCAAGATGCGACAACTACTCACTCGGTATTTATCGGAACGAGTACATATGTGAAATCCAAAATACCCAGGCCGAAAGTATAGGCGTTTTCACGCCGCGAGATGTCCTT